ACAGCTGTGTTGGTCTTTCAGGAGGGTCTGTGGCTCATCTCTTGAGTAAATATGGAGCTTTTAAGGAGTCAGTAGTCATTAACTATACTGAGCAGTTACTCCGCGGCCTTTCATATCTCCATGAAAACCAGATCATTCACAGAGATGTCAAAGGTAAGAACCCTAATACTTTCTAGTGACAAGAAAGCAAATGTAACTTTTAACCTTGACCTTTGATGGTTTCTAACACAAGTTTGGTATTAAATAACCCTATGAATATTAGAACTAAAAGGACCCTTAAGTGTCTTCAGTCCACCAGGCAGTGGTGGCATACTCCTTTAATACCAGCACTCAAGAGGCAGAGGCAGGCAGATCTCTCTGAGTTCAAGACCAGCCTGGTCTACAGAGCAAGTTCTAGGACAGCCAAAGCTGTTACACAGAGAAACTCTGTCTCAAAAAACAAAACAAAGTCTTCAGTCCACCTTTCTGGTTGTGTAGGACAGTGTGTTCAATACAAGAAAGGGTGTGACTTGACAGGAAGTGTAGAGCCGAGGCCTCTGATCCCCTGTCGTGGCATTATGATGTTTTCCCAGGCGATCCCTGCTCTTGGTTTTTCTGAGATAATTGGCGTATCATAAACTTAAGAAAATCATAGCCAGGCAGTGGTGGTGCATGCCTTTAATCTCAGAACTTGGGAGGCAGAGGCAGACAGATCTCTGAGTTCGAGACCAGCCTGGTCTACAGAGTGATTTCCTGGACAGCCAGTGCAGTCACACAGAGAAATCCTGGAGGGGGTGGGGGAGAGGGACAGACAGACAGACAGACAGTCTTGTGAGATCTTGCAGTTTAGATTATATCTATTAAAGGCAACTTGGGTTTTCTGTTATGAATCTCTTTAGTATTTGACAATATATTGAAGTGCTGTTGGGATACTAACTTGAATTAAACTGTGATTATGAAATAAGCATATAATTTGAATTGGCTTATGTTAGTATGTGTCAACAAGACTGTTTTAAAATGTAAATTGTACAAAAATTTGAATTCTGGATAGATTTTGCTGAAATCATCATTTTAAAGGTTTTGAATCCCCACTTGAAAGGGTCTTTAAGTGTATTCCTTTATCTCCATGGGCCTTAGGACTTTGACCTTCAGAAATTTCCTTCTGAGGCTTTGCGTTACATCTACCCTAGAGACCCTAGTGTGCCTTCAGCAGAAATGGATTAAAGGAAGACAGGAGCAGCTTTCTCGGAGGCTGTGACTGTACCCACATGGTTTAGTTCATTAGGGGAACTTCATGAGGCTCTCGACATGTCCTTATGTGATTCTAACATGCCAGGTCATTTGCTGTCTCTGTTGACAGGTGCCAATCTACTCATTGACAGCACAGGTCAGAGGCTGAGAATTGCAGATTTTGGAGCTGCTGCCAGGTTGGCCTCAAAAGGAACCGGTGCAGGAGAGTTTCAGGGACAGTTACTGGGGACAATTGCATTTATGGCACCAGAGGTGAGAAGTGGCTTTAAGTGTAATGAGTCACTGTGCCAGGTTCTTTCACAGTAAGAGCCATAACACACTTCCTCATTGCAAGTCCACGACCTAGAAGTTGGTTTTTAGTAGTACCTTGCAGTTTAGACCCTTCCTCTCAGCCTTCCCTTTTTTGTCTTAACAAGATTACTAAAAATAAATTTTCATAGATTTGCTTAAAGGTTACTTCAGCACAATTAACATGAACTTAACAGAAAGCAAATTTAACACAGAATTGTGGGGTTAGTTTGTAATACTTGTTTTATAGTAAAACAAAAATGCATGTGGTAGAAATATGCAGACGTTACCTTTCCTTTCTGTCAATGTCGTGACACAGTACGCACTTGTGAATGTGGCTCTCCTGAGCTCATAGCCCTCTCTGCTCAGTGTAGTGATGACTTGTTCCCTGCCCCATTGTGGAGGAGGAGGGGCTGCTTTAGAATCCTGTGATACTGTCTTTGCGCCACCTGGACACTAAGCTCATTAATGAGATTTCAAGTAGTTCCTGTAACTGCTGTGTGTACCACTGTTTACTCTGAACTCCTATATAAAACATAGATCTCTCTTTGAAGTCAGTCACATGTCCAAATGAACTGCCTGCCTGTTTTAGGTACTAAGAGGTCAGCAGTACGGCAGGAGCTGTGACGTATGGAGCGTTGGCTGTGCTATTATAGAAATGGCTTGTGCAAAACCGCCTTGGAATGCCGAAAAACACTCCAATCATCTCGCTTTGATATTTAAGGTAATTCTGACAATTTTTTGTACTAAAATTGAGAAAAGTCAAATTCTCATGAGCTGTCCCTACCAATGGTCGCTTGTTTGTGTATTGTATGTTAAGTGTGTGGGTATTTTGCCTGCACGTATGTCTGTGCAGCACATGCATGTCTGGTGTCTGCAAGGGCCAGAAGAGGGGGTCGGAGCCCCTGGTACTGCCCCCAACCTCCAATTTTAAAAAGATACTTAGTACTTCGGAGCCCCTGGAACTGGAGTGACACATGGTACTGGCCCCCAACCTCCAATTTTAAAAAGATACTTAGTACTTCGGAGCCCCTGGAACTGGAGTGACACATGGTACTGGCCCCCAACCTCCAATTTTAAAAAGATACTTAGTACTTTTTTATATGGATTATGTATGCAGGTGTTTGTATGTGCATGCCGTGACATGTGCAAAGATAAGACGACAACCTAAGGAGTTGGTCCTTGATCTCCAGCTTGTTTGAGGCAGGGTTCTTTTGTTGGCCACAGCACTGCATATTCCAGGATTTCTGGCCTCTGAACTTCTAGGAGATTCTCCTGCCTCTAATCCCACTGTAGGAGTACTAGACTTACAGATAAGCATCCTCATACCTGTTTTTTACATGGGTTCTGGGGATCCAAACGCAGGCCATCAGGCTTGCTTAGCGAGCGTTTTTTCCCAGTGAGCCAGCTCCCTAGTCTGCTCCCCCAATTTTGTTTTGTTTGGGGTGGAGGAGGGTGGTAAGATATGGCCTCTGTGTAGTCCTGGCTGGCCTTCAATGTAGAGGTCCGCCTGCCTCTGCCTCCTGAGTGCTCGAATTAAAGGTGTGCCTCCCCACACCCAGCTCTACTCCTTATAAGGAGTTTACTCCATGTTGTCAAACTCAGGACAATGCACTGTGGATAGAGCACTTAAACCCGAATTAATGGAAGTGTTTGACAGAAATGTTTCGGTTTTTCCTTGTGAAGGAAAAACAAGAGCAGTGAGTGGTTACTCCTGGGCAGATGGGAAGGGATGTCATTTTTGTTTTGTTTTGTCTTATATGTTAAGAAATATGTGCATCCACTCAGTGTCTCTAGATAAGACGGGATCACAGGTGTGTCTGCATCCACTCAGTGTCTGTAGCCAGACAGGGGATCACAGGTGTGTCTGCATCCACTCAGTGTCTGTAGCCAGACAGGGGATCACAGGTGTGTCTGCATCCACTCAGTGTCTGTAGATAGACAGGGGATCACAGGTGTGTCTGCATCCACTCAGTGTCCTAGATCACAGACTTTAAGGTTGGTTTTTCCTTCTGTCAATTTGCATTTTTCAGTTATCATTCCTGAAGTTGAGGGAAAGGGAGTTTTATTGTGATTGTGAGTACGTAGGTTTAAATTAGTTGGATTCATCCTCTACCTGATGATAGACTAATCGGCTCTTATCTGGGAATGGCAGTACACAACTGTAGTTGAAGTACTCTGGAGGTGGAGCAGCCTGTGCTGAGACCTTGTCAAAAGGGGGCGGGGGAGGTTGTTTGTACTAGTTGACACTAAGAATTAAGATTTGTCCAACACCGAGGGAGAACTCATGGCATACACCACATGGGTGCACACTGATAGAGACTGTGAAATTGATGTCCATGTTCTGTGCAAAGTCACTGTGCCTTGCAAGTTCAGTCTCCGGTTTTGTCTCCTGCAGATTGCTAGTGCGACCACTGCGCCATCCATCCCATCCCATCTGTCCCCAGGCCTGCGCGATGTGGCTCTGCGCTGTTTAGAACTTCAGCCTCAGGACAGACCTCCATCCAGAGAGCTCCTGAAGCATCCTGTCTTTCGTACGACTTGGTAGTTAACCGTTCAGACCAGCTCTAAGGGAGACAGGATGTACAGCAAGGAGAGAATAAAAAGAACTTGTGGACGACCACGTTGATAATCTCCTGGCCCTCATGCCACTGACCAGCTAGAAATGAGGCCAGTGGGGAACCCTTACCTAAGTATGTGATTGACAAATCATGATCTGTACCTAAGCTCAATATGCAAAAGGCCACAACTTGTGTCGAAACTGTAAACCGTGCCTTTCAAAGGACTGGCTCTAGGTGAACAGGAAAGCGATGGAGTTTGCATGATTAAATAACAGAACATAAATTTATTTTTGGAGCACTTTTTCAGCAATATTAGCAGCTGAGGGCTCAGGATCTGTTTTAATGTGTCACCTTCTTCCATTTCATCTAGTGATCACAGCAGGGGGGGTCTACAATTCCGTTTGGGGTTTTTGTCACTGGCTATAAAACAAATCAGTGTCTGCCTCTTTTAGGTCAGTATGCTGAGTAGCAGAAAATACATGTGTTTTTAAAAGTTAATAACTTCTTTATGACCCACACTTGACCTTTTTTTTTTGGTTTTAACTTCTGGTCGATTGTGGTTCGTTGTGCATTTTACTGTTGGCCCGTTCATTTCCTTTTTTTGGAAAATATGGTTCTGTATTTTCATTTCGCCTTCATTTGTGTTTAATATTCAGGGAAAGGTGATCTCTTCAAACCAGAAAAAAAAAATAGAAGTAGGTGTGAACTAGTTTATTAAATCTGTGCCTATTGCAAGAGTTCTGTTTTCTTCTCATTGGTGTATAATGAAGTACTGGCTACACGGAGTCAGTCCCCGCCCTCGCCATGCGGGGTAAGTCTGTACTCACCTCAAACAGCTGTTGAGATGCAGCTCACGGGCAGGGCAAGGTTATCCAAAAGTGAGGTGGATTGTTTCATATTATTTCCTAGCCTATAGGGAACTCCTGCCGTTTAAATCTTCCTCTTGGTAACAATCCATCATTCATTCCCACCGATCGTAACGGAACTGCTGTTTCCCTGTACCATGCACGATGTTTTTATACTAGACCCGGCTGAAAAACTCTTGGACTCACCTACCAATCAGCAACGTTTTCAAACAATCAATCAATTTGCTTTGCATTTTAAAAATGTTCAGACGGAAAAGTAAAGTTGAATTTCATTTACACACTAATTCCTGGAATTTGCACAACTATTTAATTGTCTTAACCTCAAGATGAATTCAGATGCATGGAATCCTGAAGGAAAATGGTAGATCTTTGCATGTGTGTCTTTTAAATCAAGTACTGATTAGCTTTTAAATGTAACTTTGAAATGTTAAGTTTTAACTCTTCAGAAGCCAGTGTGAAATAGAATTGGTTATTCTCAAAGACTCAGGATAAACTAAATAAGCTATATATATGTAGTACATTTGACATGTACAACACAAATTGGAAGTAAAATAAGTTCCAAGATAAGTTTACAGGGATATATTGCAGATAATTTTCAAAGACAGTTTTTCTGTGAAATTTTACATTCCTTTGTTTGGGAAGATTGGCAATATTTGAAGAGTTAAAAATAATACAGAAATGTGAAGTTTGGTAATGCTAAATGTGTTGTACTTGACTTCTTTTTTTATTTTCTTTTTATTTTTACTTTTTGACTACTTAGAATTTTCACAGTTCTAATAAGATTGTTTCCGAGTCTCGTGTGCAAGCTTTAAAGGATGCACTCTTGCCATTGTATGTACTGGAAGATCATTGGTCAGATTCACACTGTCTGACAGAGGTGTAAACTGTATAAACTGAGGAACCTCAGCTAATCAGTATTACTGTGTAGATCAACATGCCCACCACATTTCAGACTCAAACCGTCTCCAGATGTCAAGATCCACTGTGTTTGAGTTTGTGTGCAGTTCCCTCAGCTTGCTGGTAATTGTGGTGTTTTGTTTTTGATGCAAATGTGATGTAATATTCTTATTTTCTTTGGATCAAAGCTGGACTGAAAATTGTACTGTGTAATTATTTTTGTGTTTTTAATGTTATTTGGTACTCAAGTTGTAAATAACGTCTACTGCTGTTTATTCCAGTTTCTACTACCTCAGGTGTCCTATAGATTTTTCTTCTACCAAAGTTCACTCTCACAATGACATTCTATGTGCTGTGTGACTATGATTCCTAAGACTTCCAGGGCTTAAGGGCTAACTCCTATTAGCACCTTACTGTGTAAGCAAATGCTACAAAAAACCTCTGGGTTAAGAAAATTTGGCTTAAATGTATCCTTTGTTATTTTAAATATATCGAGATATTTTAATTAAAATTTTTACCCCTTTGAACCAATTTTATAGTATTTGTACCTATTTTGGTGTTTTGTCTTTATAGTAAATAAAAGTTTTTGAACAAAAGTTAACTGGTGCTTTGGATTTTGTAAATAATTTCATACTAATAGAAAGGTTATGAAAGCACTGTAAATAATTTCATCCTACTCACACCCGGCTGCCTGGTCACACCCTTCATAGCTGGAAGCTGCAGAACAGGATCCTGTGTTGCTTCGGTGGTCCCACTTTCTTGAGTCTCCGCCTAGAACCACGCCTTACTCCTTCCTTGGCCTTCGTGGTTTGTGATTGTATTGGCTACTGGCTTACGGAAGCCCCTCAGTCTGAGCGTGGTACGTCCTCCTTAGACTGGGAATGTGCAGGTGGCTGGAATACTGTGGGCAGTGCTGCTCTTCTGACACCCGATGGCAGGAGGGACGCACCGTCCATCTGTCCCTTCGATGCTGCAATAACCTGAGCAACACCGTGAAGCCACTGTTTCCCCTTCATAACCAACAGGCACTTTCATATTAAGCCTTCTGTAAAGGGATACTCTGAGACCACATAAATAGCATGTCATCCAGTTTAGCTATGTGCTCTTAGCCGCCTTGCTTGAGATTTTACCCTAAAAGTTGCCGAGTAATTATTTTTCTTTTAATTTCCTTATTCCTCAACATTTGTCAACTGTATTTTGCTATTAGGGAGCAATTTCTTCCATTTACTTAGTGTATATTATCACGTATTTGCTCAAGTTGTCACAAATCAGTGACAGAATGTCCGTTTCTGAGGGCTAGCATCTCTGTCTTTGGCTAGTGTACTAGTCGGGGTTCTGTGTAAAAACCAGTAGAACATCTTACAAAGGGCATCTATTAGATTGGCTTACCGTTAGACTCTAGGTGGTCCAGCAGAGCTGTCTGTACATCACAGAGTCTGAGTCACTGGGAAACTGGTGGTCCAGGAGGCTGATCACCTCAGCAGTCCTGTCCGGCACTGAAGGCCTGGAGGATTTCTGAAGAGCCGCTGCTCTTCCAACTGTGTGAGAAAGCTGAAGAAGCTGGGGGTTTGACAGTGGCAGCGACAGGGGACCAGCAAAAGGTGAAGGCATGCGAGCAAAAGGCAGCGTTTCCTGGGACCTCCTTAAATCGCCACTAGAAGGTGCTTCCCCTCAATCCTTCCAGGAGCATGCCTCTTAGTTGACTTCAGATCCAGTCAAGTTACAGTCAAGGCTTCGCAGCAAGCCACCATTATTCTACAAATACGTAATACATTTGGCTCCATCTGGTATATTTGTCTTGTGTAGTCCTTGGAGCAGTCATTTTTCTCTAAGATCACTGATTCCTTTGATGGGCAATAGCATTTAAAAATGAGGTGTCCGCACTAGGTGGTGGTGGTGCACACCTTTAATCCCAGCACTCGGGAGGCAGAGGTAGGCGGATCTCTGTGAGTTCGAGGCCAGCCTGGGCTACAGAGCGAGATCCAGGACAGGCACCAAAACTACACAGAGAAACCCCGTCTCAAAAAACAAACAACAACAACAACAAAAATTAAGTGTATGCATGTGTCAGTATCGAACATCACATGGTACTTCATTAATGTGTACCATCATCAGGTTATATATTAAAAATGTGGGGGCATGGTGGCACACAACATTAATCCCAGCACTCCAGAGGCAGAGGCAGGCAGATCTCTGTGAGAACAGGCCAGCCTGCTTTAAAATGTGAGTTCCAGGACAGCCAGAGCTACACAGAGAAACCCTGTCTCAAAAAACAAATAAATGTAAAAACACTCAACCCCAAAGAAGGAAGAAAATGGGGAATTAAAAGGATTCAGGAGGCAGAGGCAGGCCGATCTCTGTGTGAGTTCGAGGCCAGCCTGGTCTACAGATTGAGTTTCAGTCTCTAAACACGAGAGAGAGAGGGGGGGGGGGGGAGAGAGAGAGAGAGAGAGAGAGAGAGAGAGAGAGAGAGAGAGAGAGAGAGAGAGAGGAGAGAGAGAGAGAGTAAAGAATAGATGAGATAAATGGAGACCATACGAAAATGTTAACCCTCAATCTACTGTCCAGTGATTATGTTAAATTTGATTAAGCATCCACATAAAAGAAAAAGTAAGATTCATGGTCTGCATGTTAAGATAGGCTAGTGGCTACTGTGTGTCTAGCCCTTCTCAGAGAATTAGAATAATTAGCTTTGCATACATGTAAAATGTATACAGTACATAAACCTACATGCGCATATCTACACACAGAAACCATGAGTTTGTGTCATGGTTTTGATCAAACACCAACAGGTTCAGTGAAGCTTTTCTACTTTCTGAATTTGTGATTGTTTTCTCCAAGAACTGTGGCTGTGATCATTCCCAATGTCTTAGCTTAGTTTAGCTCCTCCCCACCTCTCCCTATGGAAGCAGTCTCTTGATCCCCACACCTGGGTTTCACAGAAAGAGCCTTCCTTTTGTGGACTCCCAACTCTTAGGGTGCCATCACTGCTGGCGGGGGGGGGGGGGGGGGGGGGGGGGGGGCTTTGTTTCTTACTGGTTTCTTGTCCTGGTTTTTTTTTTTTTTTTGGTTTTTCGAGACAGGGTTTCTCTGTGTAGCTTTGCGCCTCTCCTGGAACTCACTTGGTAGCCCAGGCTGGCCTCGAACTCACAGAGATCCGCCTGGCTCTGCCTCCCGAGTGCTGGGATTAAAGGCGTGTGCCACCACCGCCTGGCCTGGTTTTGTTTTTTTAAGACAGGGGCTTACTGTGCAGCCCTGACTGGCCTGGGACCCACAGACATCTGTCTGCCTTTGCTTCTAGTATTAAAGGCATATGCCACCACACTAACTTTTCATTGTTCTTAAGAGGTCTGTATATGTGTGTCTTTAACTGACAAGATGCATCAGCATTAATGAGTTACTGTGTGAAGTTTCTATGTATATAGTCTTAAGATATACTTTTTATTTTTATATGTATTTTTTCACAAAGTAGACAACATCCCAAACACTTGTCCATGCCAAAACCATTCAAAATCTTACTACCTTAAAAAGAAAAGAAGTATACAGTGCCACCATTATCCATACTCACCCTACAGTGCAGGAGCACAGCAGACAGTCTTATTCCTTTATTTTGGGTGGTACTAATGATAAACGTTGGTCCTCCTGTATGCTAATGCTCAACCACTGAGCTATATCCCTAGCTTTGATACAGAGTATGACTAAGTTGCCCCAGTTGGCCTTGAACTTTTGATCTACCTGACAGAACCTTCTGAGTAGCTGGGATCACAGACCTGTACCAAAAGCCCAGCCTCTTTGCAGTTTCTAACTATAACTTAATGCCCATTGGTCAGCCTCGCCCATCCTTCCCCCACCCCACTATTCTCAGCCTCTGGGAACCACCTTTCTACTCCCAGCTTCCATGGGATCAGCTTGTATAAATTCTATGAGACATCATGTGGTACGTGTCTGGCTGTGCCTGGTAAATTTCACTTAACATAAAGATCTCAAGTCCCATCTGTGTTGTCCCCAGTGACAGGATTTCATTCTTTTTATAGTTGAAACACACTGCACTGTATATATGTACCACATTTTTAGATGGTTTCATCAGTTGGTCAACATTTAGGTTGATTGCACATCTTGATATTGCAGATTGTGCTTCAACAAACATGTGAATGCACAGGCTTCATTGACATCCTGATTATGTGCATACTTGTAAGTATCTACGCACACACACACACGTGCACACACATCACACACGCACATCCAGGAATGGGGTTACAGAAGAATACTGTGTTGGATAAACTATTTTTTGAAGCAGTTAGGTATAAAGACAAATGAGGCAGAAGGCACAGAGATTTGTGCCCTCACATACAAGGCTTTCTGCTATAAAATGGAAGCCACCATGTTGTCAATAATATGGAACTTATGGAAATGGCCTTGAACTATACCCAGCACACAGTGGGTATGGTTGTATATTTGTCTGAATGACAAGTGACAAACAGTTACAAAGTCAAAGACCTGTGGGACTAGAAAAGCTTGGTAAAGGCTCACAACAAACCTGAGATTCATGCCAGCTTCATGACTAGGGGGTACAATGGTTGTCATGTTAGAATGGCAGCCCAATGTTGCCAAAGCCCTTAAGTTTTCAAAAGAACCTGGATACCTAGGTTGCACTGTAATTTCCTGATGTCTAAGCGTTGTAGACAGTCAACTATTTTGGTCCATGCCTATAATCCCAGCACTCAGGAAGGTGCTAAGATGGAAGGATCAAGAATTCAAGGTCAGCTGGCAGTAGTGGTACATACCTTTCATCCCAGCACTGGGAAGGCAGAGGCAGACAGATTTCTGTGAGTTCCGTGCCAAATTGGTCTGCATAGTGAGTTTCAGGACAGCCAGGACTATGAAGTGAGATCCTGTCTCAAAAACAAACAACAAACAAGAATTCAAGACCAGCCTGCCTCACCACAAATTAGACAGACAGACAGACAGATAGATAGATACATTAGGATAGATAGATTAAGATAGATGATAGATAGATAGATAGATAGATTATCTAATAGATAAAGATAGATTAAGATAGATTATAGATGACAGATAGATAGATAGATAGATAGATAGATAGATAGATAGATGATAGACAGACAGACAGACAGATAGGTAGGTAGATAGATAGATACATAGATACATAGATACATAGATGGAATTATAGACTAAACAAAATTCATCACTGGAGTGTATTGGCCTGTGGTTGGTTGCTTTTTGCCCTCTGACTTAGTTCCAGGGTTACAAATACGTAATTCAAGGAGAGGAAGGATCTCAGCCTTGGGAAAACAGATCTTTGGAAAATCAGGTGGTCTATAGGTCATTGCTTTGCCAGATCTTTAGAGATAAAAACCAAACAGACTTTGTAGGGGCAAATCCTTCATGTCCTAAAGCTCCTTTTCTCGTAAATAGGAGAAATGCCAAAATGCTCACTAGAGTTTAATTCTTAGATAACCAAATGTCAGTTTCCCTTAAAGCCAATTTGCCCAATAAGATCCCTCAGCATTTATATAGACACTATTGAGAAGAGCTGGAACTTGGGTGGGACAGAGTGGTGTGATCATATCTATACTTGGAATCTTGAAGAGTTAAATGTGGGCAAAACAAGAAGCAGGAAAGCCAGAAGGCAATGTCAGTGGTACTCAACCTTCCTTTAGTACAGTTCCTCATGTTGTGATGACCTCAACCATAACATTATTCTGTTGCTACTTCATAACTGTAATTTTGCTACTGTTATGAATGGTAATGTAAATATCTGATATGCAGGATATCTGATATGCATCTCCAAAGGGGTCATGACCCACAGGTTGAGAACCACTCACTGGAATAGACGACCTCTTCAGCTGCATGTTTAAGTGACTTGACTGTATAAAGATGCTTTTGTTCTTTCTCCTACTTAAAATAATTTTATTATTTTTATTTTACTATTTTATGTGTATGGGTGTTTTGCCTCCATGCATTTTTCTGTGCCATATACAAGTGTGGTGCCCGAGGAGGTCAGAAGAATGCATTGGATCCCCTGGAACTTGAATCACAGATTCTGCTTTGCACCTTCCCTGTGCTCTCTCCAGAGCCCAATCCCCATCTGTTTCTCTCACACTGTGTAACAACTATACCTTGCATGCTAACTGAAGGTGTTTGTATTTTCTGGAATAGTCTGTGCACAGAAGTAGGGTAGTCATAGAAGTGACTCAAATAATTCTTACCAAGAAAGGCAGCCAGGGTGGGGAGAGGGAAGAACAGAGTACAGTGTTGTGGGGCTTTCAAATCCAAATGCTCCCATAGGTTGCTAGCTAATGCTTTTTGTCAGTTTTGACATTTTGTTTAAGAGTGGTCATAGTAAGGGACCCCATGATAAAGAATTCTCCCTTCCTCTGAGAATTGCCTTAGTGTTCCAATGCTGTGAAGAGACCACAGCAACTCTTATAAAGGAAAACATTTCATTGGAGCTGGCTTACAGTTTCAGAGGTTTAGTTCAGTATCATCATGGCGGGTAGCATGACAGCATGCAGGCAGACATGGTGCTGGAGAAGGAGCTGAGAGTTCTACATCCTGATCATAAGGCAGCAGAGAGAGACAGAGACACTGGGCCTGACTTGGGCTTTTGAATTCCCCCCCCCCCCCCCCCCCCCCCCCCCCCCCCCCCCCCCGCAAAAAGGCCCACCCCCAGTGATACACTTCCTCCAACAAGGCCACACCTACTGCCACACTCCCAATTCCTCTTGGATAGTGCCAGTTCCTGATGCACTCAAATATATGAGCCTGTAGGGACCATTCTTTTTTTTTTTTTTTTTTTTTTTTTTTTTTTTTTTTTTTTTTTTTTGGTTTTTCGAGACAGGGTTTCTCTGTGTAGCTTTGCGCCTCTCCTGGAACTCACTTGGTAATGTAGGGACCATTCTCATTCAAACCACCACAGTGGACAAAGAGACTGTCTAGTGAGAAGTGATGGAGACCAGATCTTAATGAAGACGAAGACTGAAGCTCCAATCAGCAAAGAAGCAGAACACTAGACGGTGGAAAATGAGAGGTCCCACTACACTAGGAAGGCATGAGATCAGGGAGATCAGAAGAAGAGAAATTGTTAAAGGCAATGCGGTGGTTCACACCTATAGTCCCAAGAGTCAGGTGTGAGGCTCTCCTGGACTCAAGACCAGTCTGGGCTACACAGCAAAACTCTGGGGGGAGAGGAAGGGAGGGGTGAAAGAGAAATCAATGATTTCAAAAGCCACAAATGTGGAGATAAGACAGAAGTGTGCAGTCTGGACATGGAGTGTCTCCTGTCAGTTCGTGAATTAAAGCTTGGTTCCTAGCTGGCACAGCTGAGAGCTGACTCAGCCTTAAGGCACTAACTCCATTAATGAGTTCACACTGAAGGGGCTCCTAGGAGGTGGGGCCTGGATGGATAGAGAAAGTCCCTGGGGTCGTGTCTTTGAGATGCGGATCTCATCTCTGGCCTCTTCCTATCTCTCCAGCTGCTTTCTTGCAGACTCGTGAGGTGAGTGGCTTTCCTCTGGCACTACTATGGTGTTTCTGCTCTGCCATAGGCCTTAAAGCAAGGGAGCCACCACACCACGGACCTCTGAAACTGGGAGCCAAAGGAGCCCTTCTATGTTTAATCTCAGCTCCATTGTCTCAGGAATGAAAACTAACACAAGCACACCAAGTCTCTGAAGATGAATGACAAGGACCACTTCAGTGGAGCAGAAAGAAAGAATGAGGCTGTATTTCAGTGCATGCCATGGGGAATCTGTGGGCAGGAAGATGATGAGCAAGATACAGTTAGTCATGAAGCTTGCCTAGGAGCAAGGAGTATAATCTGTACCCTGCAATGGGCACGGATGCAGAGAAACAGCAAATAACATAGCTTACAGGGTTCTCTGCATGGTCTGCTGTCTGTTCAGTTCTGCTCTCCTGACCACCCACCTCATGACCAATGAGATAGCTTCCCAGCCACTGCTGTCTCCCAGCGTCAGCATATCTCCTGCTTGCGAATGCCTCTACCACCCGGACATCCTGACCCTCTCCTGAACTGGACTCATCCTACTTTTTAAAACTGCTCACTTTGTTTTAAGGATTTATTTATGTATATGAGTTCTACTTGCAGGACAGAAGAGGGCATCAGATGGCTGGGAGCCACCATGTGGGTGCGGGGAATTGAACTCAGGACCCGTGGAAGAGCAGCCAGTGTTCTTAACCACTGAGCCATCTCTCCAGCCCCTAAAATTGCTCACTTTTAAGGTTCATTTTTGTTATGAGTGTTTGCTTGTGTGTATGTATGTGCCCAGAGAGGTCAGAAGATGGTATCACGCTGGGCAGTGGTGGCACACGCCTTTAATCCCAGCACTCGGGAGGCAGAGGCCGGCAGATCTCTGTGAGTTGGAAGCCAGTCTGGGCTACAGAGTGAGTTCCAGGACAGGCACCAAAACTACATGGAGAAACCTGGTCTCAAAAAAAAAAGGAAGAAGAGGGCATTAGACCCTCTGGACTGGAGTTACAGACAAGTTGTGAGCTACCATATGGGTGCTGAGAACTGAACCCTGGTCCTTTGTAAGAGCAACAAGTACCCTTAACTGCTGAGCCACCTCTCCAGCCCATAAGACTCTTTTGGTTGGTTGACTGTTTTTGAGACAGGGTTTCTCTGTGTAGTTTTGGTGCCTGTCCTGGATCTCGCTCTGTAGACCAGGCTGGCCTCAAACTCACAAAGATCTGCCTGCCTCTGCCTCTCAAGTGCTGGGATTAAAGGCCGGCCCTTAGCAGGGTTTCTATTGCTGTGAAGAGACACCATGACCACAGCAACTCTTGCAAAGGAAAACACTTAATTGAGGTGATGGCTTACAGTTCAGAGGTTCGGTCCATTGTCATCATTATCAGTATGGCGGCATGCAGGCAGACGTGGTGCTGGCTACATCTTGATCAGAAGGCAACATGAAGTGTCTGTGACACTGGGCAGTATCTTGAGCATAGGAAACCTCAAACCCGCCCCCCACAGTGACACACTTTTTCCAACAAGACCACACCTACTCCAACAAAGCCATACCTCCTAATAAGGCCACTCCCTATGAGCTTATAGGGGCCAATTACATTCAAACTACCACAGACAGTATCTTCTTCATTTCTATGTTCTCAGTGGCTAATACAGAGTCTAAAACACTCGTTAGTTGAACTAGTCAGCAATAGAAGAGGGCCACTGTATAATACCAGTGTCTCAGGAGGCTGTGTACAGTACTATTTTAAGAGGGCAACTATTGTTTAGGACTGAGCTACCCTGGTGGGGCCAATAACAAGGAACTACCACAAGTCAGGGAACCTGGGGGCAACTTGACACAGACCGAGGTAGAAGGGAGTCATGGAGAGGTAAAGAGTTAAACTTCCACATATCCAAAAGTTTCAGGTGGCATGAGGCTCAACTCAGGCCATGAAGGGTACATAACTGATGGTCTCACCTCCAGTGCCTAGGAGCTGAGGCCATCACTGAGGATAACTGCCCATCTGATAGCCCTGACCCTGAGGTCAGTGGATACATCAAGCACTGGAGAATTCTGACGGTCCGGTGGAGTATTTCACCCACCCACTACCCAGCCCCTGAACCCCACCACCCCGCCCACCTCCCACCCCCACCCCACCCCCACCCCACACACACAATCTACCTCGGCTAGAACCTGAGCCATTCCAGGGTGGTAACTGGCAAGTTTTAGGAGTGTGTGGTGACTTGCTCAGTCCACAGACTGCAAAGTCAAGGGTGGCCAGCAGAGGCTCCTGGTCTGAAAGGAACGGAAGGGAGCAAATGATGGTAGAGCACTTGCCTAGTGTGTGTGAGGCCTTGAGTTCAACCCACCACACACACACACACACACACACACACACACACACA